TTCGTAGCCCGATCGGAGAACAATACGGAAAACCAGCCGTATTTTATGAGATAAGAGAAAAAGGGTAATCCATGGAAAACGTGACACCCGAAAATATGTTACTGTAAAAGCAAAGCCGTATTGACCGGATTAAAATTGTTGGTCTATTGTTCTTTTATGGGCTTGGTGGCTTCGATGTAAACGAACGAGTTAACATACTCTAATAACACAATGCAACAAATTGCAAGGTCATAAACACTTTTTTCGAAAATGTAGGCGTTCTTTATGTATTTCGACCGCCTGAATTCGAAAATGGTATTCAAAACATCGTATCACCCACAGTTTTTGCACAAATCGCATATTTTGCAATAATGATAATATACACGAAAACACTTCAATGCCTCAATACTACCTGTCGGCCATTCTGCGCACCTGAAGGAAACATATGACAACTTTAAGGCACTTCTTACTACCATTCATTATGAGGATCATAATTGGATGGTGTGTGGTGATTTCAAAGTGTTGAGTATGCTTCTAGGACAACAATCAGGATATACGAAGTTCCCCTGTTTTATCTGTGAATGGGACAGTCGAGCTCGTGACAAACATTGAGAGCAAAAACAGTTGCCTCGAAGGTTGGAATTGGTTCCATGGGACAAAAATATTAAGTGTGACCCTCTAGTGGAAAGAGACAGAATACTCTTACCACCTCTGTGCATCAAATTGGGCATAATGAAGCAGTTTGTCAAAGCATTAAATAAGTGTGGCAACTGTTTCAAATATCTATGTTACAAGTTCCCCAACCTGTCAGATGCTAAGTTGAAACAGGGCGTGTTCACTGGTCCCAATATTCGGAAAGTAATGCTAGATGAAGATTTTCTTCATTCAATGAATGCTGTGGAGCGAGAAGCCTGGACTGCCTTTAAGTGTGTGGTTCAAAACTTTCTGGGAACAATGGTATCCCAGAATATATTGACATAGTTGAGAATATGCTGATGAAATTCAAAATGCTCGGATACTCAATGAGTTTGAAGTTACATTCTTTAAATTCGCATCTTGACTTTTTTCTCCAAACCTGGGTGCTGTAAGTGAGGAACAGAGTGAAAGATTCCATCAGGATATCAAGGACATGGAACGACGATACCAGGGAACTTGGGATGTTCGGATAATGGGTAACTACTGCACGTAACGGAAATTCCCCATAAGAGGAAAAGCAGGGGCCACACCATGACAACTAAGAAAGCACGCAATGAATGATATTAATGCATGTTTTGTACCACATTCTCTGTATGCATCTTTTCACTGTGTATATATTTCAATATGTTGCTGTTTTAAACTTATATTCTACTTCTGCATGATTCTTGTGCCATATATATGTACTACTTCTATATATGATATCATTATTGGCAAAATATGCGATTTGTGCAAAAACTGTGGGTGATACGATGTTTTGAGTATCATTTTCGAATTCAGGTGGTCGAAATACATAAAGAACGCCTACATTTTCGAGAAAAATTTTGTCACTGTTGCATTGTGTAACAGTTCGAACAATTAACCAAATTCCTTAACGTGTACATTTCTATATCTCTAGCGGAAACAAAAGTACAGTTACGAACTAACTAAATTTCGAAATATCCGAATTCGAATTAACGAAAATTTTCGGTATAGAGATATTACAATTGGTAACTGATTAGAAGCCAAATAAGCAAACTCAACGACTGCTTCGAGAAAATTTAAAAATTCGGAAATTGTTAACAAATATTCTTCTAAATGTGTTTTATATTAGCGCTGTTTCAGAACATATTTAATGTTTTAGTAGCATTTGGTAGCATATATAATTTACGCTATCTTTTCGCAAGCTGAAACTAATCAACGTGGTAGGCTTCTTTTACCAACACACAGATCATTCGAATATCCAACAATGCGTTTCCCACAACCCGATGTGTTAAAAAACGTCTCCTACAGACTGCAATATAACCGTCCTGCACTAAATAAAGTGCATTCGCTTTCTGATATCCTGTCATATTTTTGTGGGATCTCTGAAGCGCGATATTCCTTGATTCGTGCAAGTGATACGTATTGTGACGTCCTGTCCTTGGGGTATGGCTCTTTTTCGCAGTGTTTAGGCATGGGCGAAAACTATACGGAAAAAAAAAGCAAAATAAGATAACTTTCGAATGAGGAAAACGAACAGGTCGGAAAGCGACGAAGGAAACAAAAAATAATCAAACTTATGGCGTGAGGCACAAACAAAAAACGAACGTGTGTCTGCCAGGATCGAACCTGAGACATTCCGCGTGTAAAGCGGACGTGATAACCGCTACACTACAGACACCTGCCGTAAAGGTTGAACCGGATTTCTTCTTGAACTGATCGTGGGTCGTATTCAAAACTGATTTTCCTCCATCAGACGTAATCGGACAGTTTCAGTTCAGATTTTCGTTAAGATTCGAGCAGGCAGAAAGAGCGCAAAGCTATCTCTAATTGTCGCACGCCAAAAAACGAATGCGAGCATGTTTTTCTGCGAAAACGACAACTCAATTTCGTCGTAGAAAATCACGTTACCGGAAGATAACGAGCGAACGAGCTTGCAAGTGAAATTTGCGAAGAATCGCCATGGCCGAAGACAAAAGAAAAGCATCGGACATATGGACTCGCTGTCATGAGGTTAACGAGTTTCCATCGTGAGAGGAATGAAGATTTTGTGAGAAAAGTGCCGGATTCCCTGCAGAACTTGATGTTAGCACAAGTGCGACTTAAAGATTTAAGTAGACTTAGAAAAAATCTGCGGTCGAGTGCTTGTGGTGTAGTGGTTATCACGTCCGCTTCACACGCGGAAGGTCCCAGGTTCGATACCTGGCAAGCACAGCTTCATTTTTTTGTCGGTTTGTTTATTCGAAATTCGGCACCGCGTTATGCGACTGTGCTTTCCAATCACTATTCTATCTATCGCCGATCATGTGCTTCGATTATAACAAAGAATAAATTGTTTTCAATGAGAAAGTGAAGTATTAATAAGATAGAAACGTGATACTCGAAAGCACAGTCGCATAACGCGGTGCCGAATTTCGAACAAACAAACCGACAAAAAAAATGAAGCTGTGCTTGCCAGGTTTCGAACCTGGGANAAAAAAGGACCCCACCCATCCCCCAGACCCAGGTGGTAACCTGACCCTTCAGCCACAACAGGCACCCAACTACGCCAAAGGGCCTAAGAGAGGACCAAAGGCAGGCCCCGTGGCCTCGGCAAAGGTCCCCACCCCCTGCCAGAGGGTCCTGACCAGGGCGCCACCCTGCACTCTGACAGGGGGCGAGATTATACAAGGTCTGATCAGGGCGGCCAGTAAGGTACGGCTATACCCCCCGGGCCCCTAACTATACCCCGCCCCAGGTGTGCAATCCCCAGTTTTTGTGCTGTACCCTCGGGGACTGCCTTCAATCCTCTCGGGCCAAGGTCGCAACCTGAGCGCCTGTTGCCACTTCCAAGCCAGGCCAACACCTGAATCCCCCGCCGTACCATTGGCTTCCCCAGGACGCATACNATTATGATATTTTTTTAAATTATAAAGTTTTATCATTCAAACTTATTTTTTTATTAAATTCATTAGTAAAAAAATTTAACTTAAAAAAAAATAATAATAATAAATAATGGATTAGTAGATTGTGCTGCCATCTGTTATCGAGAATACTATACAGTCAACCCCCTATAACACTGTTGATTATTCCGTTTTATATGAATTCCATGTTGTACGAGTCACTTAGAGTTAACAAATATGTGAGCCGTTCACAGCCCGGCACACGTATTTGTAAAATCTAAGCGACTCGTACAACATGGAATTCATATAAAACAGAATAATCAACAGTGTTATAGGGGGGTCAAGAGATATAACAGAGACATCACACTGGTAACATAAAAATGACACTTCTATCATTTTAATGTTACCAGTAGCATTGTGATAAGTCCCTGTTATCTGTACTGTAGTGTTTTATTACATATTTATGGCAATTAGGAAAAACCATAACTTATCCTCTAATATATTTAAATAGCAATAGAAATTTAATAATTTTTTAAATAATTTATTAACTTTATATAATTTTACTTGATTTAATATAGTGAGAAATAGTATTTTGGATGAAATAGTTTTGTATTTTTGACACGAAAAATTACATTTCTTATGACACTCACTTTAACTCTAAATCGTTTGGTAATTTAAATAATATTCTGCACTATCAAAAGTAGAATATGAATGAAAATTTACTGATGGCCTACTGCACCTATCCTTTATTTATATACATTTAAAATATCATCAACATGTCTTTCTTTTAGCTTTCATGTCATCACTAATCTAATCATCATCCTCTAATCATCTCTAAGTTAATAAAGAGGTTGCGGCCGACGTTTTCAACGCGAAAACGTGTACGTCGGACGTTCAGCAACGCCTTCCCGTAAGCCTAGAAGTTTGACAATGGCGTTTGGAACGTCAGTAGAATCGTGCTCGACGTTCCAAACGCCAAAAGAGGTTGCAACCGACGTTTTCAATGCGAAAACGTGTACGTCGGACGTTCAGTAACGCCTTCCTGTAAGTCTAGAAGTTTGACAATGGCGTTTGGAACGTCAGTAGAATCGTGCTCGACGTTCCAAACGCCGTAGTCAAACTTCTAGGCTCACAGGAAGACGTTGCTGAACGTCCGACGTACACGTTTTCGCATTGAAAACGTCGGCCGCAACCTCTCTATTATGTGTCTGTTTACATCGTCCTCTCGTACGATAAATATTTACTTGTGCTCTTTTAAACACAATATTGTGACGTAGTCATATTTACAGTATTTTAATATCTATCTCGTAACGAGTTTTGAATACAAAACAAAATGATAATACACGAATTATAAATTGATTAATCCTATAGTCAATTGTAAGAGCAGAAAACAGTATAAAAGATTTAAGGATGTATTAATTTACAATTACATAAAATGTCATTTATTTTTAATACATATTTTTCGATTACATAAAAAAAATTCACGAATGTCCATAAAATTTTATGAAATAATTCATTTTACAGAAGAGTTTTTTTTTAAGTGTTTTAAAAGTACACGTATCCAAATTCGATAATTGTTTGTATATTATTATATAATTATTTAATTAATTAATTAAAGTCATTTTCATCACCACCATTCGCCAAACTAGAAAATTGAATTTAAAAATAAATAATAATAATTTAAAAATTTTATTATTAGCAAGTTGAAATTACAAAAGAAAATATCCCTTACGTAAGCAATTCGCATTTGCATTTCTAAACTCATTTCATCACCTTGAGCAGATGTGTGCAAGCTCCTTATTACAGTTAATGCCATTAAAGAAAGGTATTGGTGGCCGTTTATCTTTATTTTATAAGGATCGTAATAACCGAAGCGAAATTTCAGAACGTCGTGTAAATGCAATGAATCTTTAACAATTAGCATACATGAAGCATTATTCCGGAATCTATTGTAATCAAAAACCTGTAATGAAATGGATATATTAGCCAAGTTGTGGCCGAAGTTTTCATCTGTTAAACGTGAACGTCGAACGTCGAGCATTGCTATCTTGTAAGCGTTCGACGTTCACGTTTTATACGTTGGCTATTTATTCATTAACTTCTAGGTCTGAATTTTAAAACACTTTACTCACCTCTAAATCCATATCAGAAGATGGAGGATTTTCAATCAACCATTCAATCGCTTCCTGGGCTTTCCCATTAATGTAAACCACAAATTCGTTAAGATTTGATCGAACATTTGTCAATCCCTACCAAACATTAAAAACGTTATTACTCTATTTGTTCTATTAGAAAGACCACGAGCCAATGTCGGTTGCAAAGAGTCAGGTGTTGGTTCATTTGGTCTTTTTTTACAAGAACAAATGAAAAATAAATTTCAGCTACGAGTTGTTTAACTTTCCCGGCTACATTTAAAATTTTGGTGGGAAATCCCTGCAAAATTTAAGAAATTTTCGACAAAAGGCACAGGAGTTATTAAGCTTTAAAAAGGGTAAAGAAAGTCATGCACTCTCACATACATACACACACCCATACACACAGGGAAATATCCCCAGAATGCTTTTGCATTTCTCTATGTTTCACGGTCCCGAGTCTAAAAATGCAATAATCTTGGGGGTCATTTTTTGACAATTGCCATATTTTCTCTCTGTTTTATATAACAGAGTAGGGAAAATAATAAACGTCGCGGTTCCCTACACCAGAATTTAAATGTTTTATCAGTGGCGTGTTATAAATTCATGAGGCTCAGGCGAATTTGAATTGGGCGCAACGTACAATGCCATATTACATTTTGATGCAACTAAATATATGTAAATTACTTGAAAATACGGTAGAACACGTAACTCCCATTCTTCAATCACCCGAACCGGATGCAACGACGATATTTTATCTTTCATGTACCAACTGTCGTCGTGCCTACCAAACCTTGTAGGCCGGAACCCGTAACTGTACATACGTTCCAGGTAACAGAATTTACAAGTTATCGCAGAGAAGTAAACATTTCTACAATTTCCTGAGTTGTATTTGCATTTATAAGTTTTCCTCAGGATTACGCATCTCAGAAAGAATCTTAAACATCTTTTACATCCAAAATTCCCGTAATACGAAGTCCAGTATTGAGAACCGCATACCACGCAACGTGGATTAAAAGACCAATCTGAAATCAAACAGAAATGATTTTTACATGCCATTTTGTTGTGGGATTTTTTTTTCTATTTTAATTAAAATTAACCTTACTTCTTGTCAAACGAAATTCTTCGATCTGTTCCTTCGTAGTCATGCCAAATCTATAAAGTAATTATTAATATTTTAAACTCGATAAGAATCCTACAAGTGACCATTCATTAGAACTTTTATTCCTCCATATTTGCATGCACCTACCACATTGATAGCAGTTTGCTTTGTTATATAATTAATTTAATTTTTTAAAATATAAATTAATTATGTAAAAAAGTCATTAGTGACATACATTTTCATTATTTTTCGTGGATATTTTTAGTTTACATAACGAGAGAATTTATGCAAATTAACATGGAAACTGCCTAACACGAGGCCACTTCTTACTATGACATAATTCGGTTGTAAATACCTAATTAAATCAGTTAGACTTTATGTAAATTAAAAATTCCAATAAAAATTTCCATCCTTCCCAATAAAGACTTTATTTATGTTTGAATTGTGTTTGACTTTTACATATTTATTGAGCCATAAATATGTTAAATATACTACAGAGAAAATTAATAAACAATTTCTTCTCATAAATATGTCATTTTTTAAAAAAATAATACCGCAATTAAAGCATAAAATCGGAATATTTTAAGTCTGATATGAACCTTTCGTTTACTTCATTTTAATTAGAAGAATAGGCTAAATCCAAGCGCTTATATAACGTTAAATATTGAGGTAAATTCCACTTCTTGATGTATTTATTAACTATTGATTAATAGCTATTAATTAACTTAAGTACATTCGATCTATTAATCGATATGAATGTACTGTACGTGTGCTTCACAATATAAAGGTAGTTTGACTTGGCATTTTAACAATAATGCTGTACTCTGTCATAAAATATTACATGCCACAATTAAAAGCATTCGATCGATAAAAGGAAATTGTTATTTTAAGGGAAGTAGCGAGATCTTATTATATTCCATCTTTTACTTGGATTGGCTTGATGAAATAAGACAAAACAACACACGGACGATCTGTCGAAAAGAGTGACTCTCAGGAAGACTTTCTAAACACTTTCTAACTTCAATTTAAGAGTCAGACAGGGCAAGAAAACCAGGTAAATTCCGCGTGGTGAGCACGTTGCTAAGGCGCGGATTTCCTACCACGTATTGAATCTTTTATTCAATAGGCCACTGGTGAACTCCATTATATACTTATATTAGTTTATTTAATTAGCAGTTTTAAACGAAAAAGTATGGATAAATATACAAAGTTGAGCAAGTATTTTCATGAACAAATATGTTTAAATTGCATCTTTCGACCATGCTTAGATACTGCGATGGTTTATGGTTGGGAATTCTTTCAACAATGTAAATGCAGAGATCTTCCCACACCGTTTCATAAGTTATTAAAGAAATGCTATTCGTATTTTGTTGAATATATTTATTGGCAACATTTCTTCTTGGTATTACTTATGACGATTCCTTATTTAGCAGAGTATGTTCCGTGTTATTCTTGGTTTTTATTAGTGGAAAACGACATCTTTACTAGAATTTTTATCTTTATTTTTATTTTAACTGCCACATCCACTTTTAGCATTTTAAAAAGGTTTAAAGTAAATCCTACGATAAAATTAAGAACAGCAGGATATCTTAATGTAGAGCAAATACAAACCTTGGTTCACTATTGTACATTATTTACTTTATCGACAATGGTAGTTACAATAATTGTATTTCAATTTATCAACGTTATGTTCCTATACAGGGCAACAGGAAGCGTACAGAAGTATAAATACGAAGCGCTTGTTTGCAGTGTAGAAGTTGGGATTTCCATTAGCTTAATGGTAGGAGGAATATTTCATTTCGTATTATTCTCTTTCCTTTTGGCAGTCGTTATAATGAAAGGATTTGAGAGAGTAGCGGAAGATTTGTTCTTATTAAAGAAGAGCAATCACAACATTCACACCGAACTCGAAGAAATAATGCTACAACATGCGGAAATATGGGCATTCACTAATCAGATAAACACCACTCTCAATTTCGAGTATGCTATATTATATGCCGTTCTTATATCAGAGACAAGTCTCGTATATTACGTTTTTTTCTTTACTGAAATGAATTTGATACTTCGAATCGTCTTCTTCGTTCTGATTATTGCTGCTTCATTGATATGCATTATAGTGGGTTTCGTAGCATCTATATTAACAGCGACGGTAAGTCTACGAACTTTGAAGTAATAATATCCACAAGTTCATTTACATATCTTTATATAATTAAATCTTTGTATATCTTTGTGTGATTATTTCTAAAGAATCATAAATTCTTGCAGATGCAAAATACTTTTCAAGACATCAGAAGATTCGCAGACTGTGAATTGACTGTGGAACAGAAGTTGAAAGTTAGTATTTTTCTACGTATTCCTGTAATTTTTATATTTTTCTTTTATTAACTCTGTCTTGTGGGACTAAGGGAGCCTTTAATTCATACCAATCGTCAGTTCGAGCATGCAGAACATAGGGTACATTACACAAATGAAAAATTCCTGTGGTTTGTCCGAATTCGAACCCCAGTATCCCAAAGCGTTAGGCTGATCCTTATTTACCTTGGCATCCAACTATGTTATTTCTAAACTATCAAATACTATATCAAGGGTTTTAAAATATTTAAAAATATTTCTAATTTTTTTTTACAGATTTTAAACTTCATGAAAAGATTTGGAAAGATATCTTTATGCTTTTCAGTAAGAAATTATTTCTTTATCACAAAAAAGTTTCCAATAAAGGTTCAAACATTTTCTATTAAATAAAACATGTATTTTTACATGTATATATTTAATTTAAGTTAAATTATTATTATTCAGATGGCCAGCGCACTGAATTCTGTATTTTCAAGCCTTATGAACATTCGCAAGTACAAGACGTCGTAATTCAAATAGATAAAATTCAAGTAAATTCATATATTAATGACTTTAAGTATGAAATGTAATTTGTTATCTTAGTTTATGCTTAGCATATGCTAAAATGTGGAGTCTTAAATGAAAAAGCGACAAACGAGATCATTTTAACGTTACGTGGAGCGCGCTGCCATGAGGACTTTCCATGGAAAACTGGTTTCTATTCAGTGTTAGACATGTGAATCCGAAAAACTCCATCCTATTGATGAGGATCAATAAGCATTGGTATCAAGTTTCAATATTTAGTGATGTTCTGTACTTGGATACGTTACGTGAATAGGGATGACAAATTAGCGTTAAACAGATCAGTGTTACGCCCAGTCATAATGTATACATAATACATATAATTTTAAACATTAGAGATATTAATACTCTTAAATATTTAAATATTAAAAAATTAGAAAACATCCAGCAATAAGTTGCATAACTTTCCTGGCTGTTATAAAATTTTGTTTTAAAAATAACTTTTATATTATTAATTACAGTATTATAAAATGACAACAGTTCAATTTTGTGGGAAGTTATAAATGCTAATAACGAGTAAAATCGTCATTAAGTCAAATCTTATTCGAGATATGACAGTATCCCTCACTTCCTCAAAGTCTAATGATTAAAGTATAACCATATCATGTGGACACATAATTCAATATAGTCAACAGAGAAGGAGGACTAAAGAATAACCAATCATTCTTATTCTTCATTACTTCAACTTTCTCGGGATTAAAATCATGATTGGTCAGAAGAATAAAACAAAAGGGAATGACGAAAATCACGCAGAAAAGGAGGGAAAAACATTCGCGCGCTCTTCTTGTGCTCATTTAGTTTATATTCACATTTATCCATTTTCCTGTTGTTCTTGAAAATAATTCAGTAGCTTATAAATTATCATTTTCAATGCTGAAGAGTGACATGAGAAAGGGTAATATCAGCATGCTCACATCACCCCACATACATTTTCAAATTTGTTCTGTCAATTGGCATAGATAAACTTTAGCTGTGAACGTCGACAGATTCATATTGATTCATTTTACATCTCAAAGAACATTCTTACATTCTTTTCCAAAAATATCACACTACAGCTAATCTACAGCACAGTACAAGTGTACAAATATAATTAGCAAACCATATTTTTACGTATCTTGACAGATTCCTACAGATTATCGCTGAAAAGCTTTTTCTTCTGATTAAATACTGTCGGGAAGGTCGCTTAATTGTCTGTCCCTTATTTAGTTGAAGAAATACTTAAAAGATCTGAGTAGCCAGCCTTTTGGCGAAGAACGAACCCATGATCAGTATTCAGTGGTTTTACCACTTTTTACACTAGTAAGCAGTGTCATTGCAACTACCCAGTAATCGACAGAAATACATATTGTAATCAATTTAAATATTTTTTTATAAAGTAGCTGTTTGAAAATTTCTGTCCCCATTTCTTTTTTTATAGTGTCATTGAATTAAATGTTATAGAATTTAACGGTGAAATTTAATTCAGTCATTTCGAATATTGTAATTTCATAAAATTTGCATAAGCCACCTGCGTAAAAACTAATCTAATAATTCTCTATTGCTTTATATTTTTATCAAGAATCAAATTTTTAAAATTATAACTTATTCATATGATATTTATTAATTGTACAAAATATTAAAACTGTTTATTGTTACAATAACAAATAAATTTCCAATATTATTAGACGATTAATTGTTGTTGCTATTTGTCAAGCGATTGCATACGATATTTTCCTGAAATAAATGCTAAAGTTTAAAAATATGAAAATATTCGTAATTCATCTGTTTATATTGAAAGTTTTCGAATTATCAGCTGATTCGAGAGAATTTTCATTACTCAAATATGACCATAATTACCCAGCGGAGGAATTGAACAATGCAGAAGCTGCGATTCCATCCGAGAAACAGGATGAAATCAGAAATNGAAAATATTCGTAATTCATCTGTTTATATTGAAAGTTTTCGAATTATCAGCTGATTCGAGAGAATTTTCATTACTCAAATATGACCATAATTACCCAGCGGAGGAATTGAACAATGCAGAAGCTGCGATTCCATCCGAGAAACAGGATGAAATCAGAAATTTCATCACGAAATACCGGACTATGTCAAAAACACCGAAAGCCAGACGAAAATGGGAAATTTTAAAACAACTATACAAACGATATGGATTGAGTGGACCAGACAAGCTGGATACTAAAACAACTGATCATTTACAGAAGACTTTCAACAAAATCATCGTTGAAAATTCGCATCATACACAGAAAGAACACTTCTCCACATTCGATATCCAGAATCATTACGAAAAGAAAATTAGAAAATACAAAGATTTGAATGATAAACATCGAACATCAAAAAACAAAGCATCTGTAAACGGTACTGACACAAGTTTTAGAATCGACAAAAAGGATTTCAACTTCAAATTTTCCTGGATCCTCAAACCTAAAATATTTTCCTACATCACTACTTTCTCCGCGACATTTCTAGCGGTTTGCATCGTCCTAATCGTTATAGTAAAAGTAATTCAATGCTACGACCAGGAAGATGAAATTGAAATAAAAAGTCGTGCATTACCGGCCACGAAGAAAAAAACTCTCGCCGTATTAGAAGACAAAAACGATTTTCTCATACCGCTTCTGAATACTCACGAGGAACTTGCTTTATCTGAGAATAACCGTTCTCGTCCAAATAAGTACAAACACGATAAAGAAACACAAGTGGAAGGAGAATTTATCTTTGCCGATCATCCGGCAAAAGTCAGATTTGAAGACCAAACGAAGNAACATACAAGCTATCAAACTCTTTGCAAGCGCATACCTCACATTGAATTCTTATGATGTAAAGTATTTTAAAAGTATTTTTTATTAAATAATATTCATACTTATATACATAAATAAAATCGTTGTTTCATAAAACTGTGTTTTATTCAGACCTGTAATAAGGCAGAAACATAAGCGCAAATCCCAGAAAAACATTTACTATCCAGGGGTCGCGATAAAATTTTTCACAAAATGGGGGTCGGAAATAAAAATAGTTTGCATACAATTGTATTAAACTATTGAACACCTCGCACTTCATCAAAGAGATGGATATTTGGAGTATTCGGATATTCTGCACAGTTTGTAACACCTAAATAAGGCCAATTTCTAATTGAAAGTTGTCCAAGGAGGCATCCCCTTAGTAGATTGCATTTGTTCCATGTGTTGCATTTCCTCGTTTCATGACACCAAACTGATAAAGCTGCGAAATTACCTTATTACGTAATTAGTACTTTATTCTATTTATTTAACAATTCAGTATGCTATAAATAGTTTATTCTCTATATTTTTAATTATATAAATAACTCTCATTATGGTAATTTTTACGATCTTAAAGTTTGCCTCAAAACAATGGAAGAATTTTACTTATTCGTGAAGATTTTCTCTTACCCATTCTCATCTTAACCCACTTGTTATACACATTATTTTTTCGCTTTTTCAACAATTTATCTTGTTCAAGCAGCCATCTTTTTCTAGATCCACCCTTCTTACTCATATAATTCACAAGTTCATAGTATTCCCGACATGTTCAAACGAACATAACATAACGCGAAATTGTTACAATTTATCAAAGATATTCTCGTTCACTGCGCTTCAATAAAGTATATTTTCATAATTTTAATTATAATGTACTGTCTTTGTATATGTCTGTATGTGTCTTATATCTATATCTGTATGTGTTATAATTATATTTAATACCAAGACAAGAATTTTACGTTTACAACGGTTAACTGACTTTTGGACCACCATGTGTTTTCAATATTTAAAGATTTTTTAATGTTTCAAGTTGTGAATAGTCATAATTATTTTATTGGAAAAATTCAGGGAAATTTTCAATATTGTATAAACGAGATAATCATAAACAGGAAAATACGATGATTTAGCTATAAAAATTGATACCAAACATAAACAAATGCCTTATTTTACGTAAGGCATTACACATTTTACAAAGCATTTTACATTTTACGCAAGACTTATTATATAGAAAGTACACTTTGCACCTTCTATTTTCATTCTTTTCTTTTTTGATTGCTTGGTTTAATAGGGTAAGGTAACGGAATAAAGTATTTAATCGATCTACCAATGAGGAATGCCTTCTGGGAAAACTTTCCATGAAAACTGACCTGCTATTTAAGAAGGAAACCCGAAAAACTCCACGTAGCCAGCTTGATGGCGAGAGGTGAACACACGACTACCTGTATTCAGCGGTTTTATCCATTCCCCTACTGACGAGTTCGCATTGATCTATGTAGTTGGAATGCCTTAAAAGAAGAATATAAAGAATTGTGTACTTACGGACAATTTAAACGGGCTGTGAAAATATTGATATGTGATTAGTTGAGTGTATTTTTTTGTTTTGATGTTATTGTATTTTTCTTTTCTGTTTTTTTTTGTTGTTTTGTTGATTGTATACTTGGTAAAAGTCTGTATCATTAATTTTTCTTTTGACCCTTGAAAAAGGCCAATGGCCATAGGGTCGTATGATTAAATAAATAAAATAAATAAACAAATATGGTAAATATAAAATTGCTATCTTTAAACTCCTTATGTATAATAATAATTATAAATTTATTTCAAAAATTAATTCAGTCTAAGCGCATTTAATTATAAATGTGAATGGTACATGATTAAAAATAATGTCAATGTCTCTTGCTAGGCTGAATACGTAAAATAACATTTCGGAAAAAAGTTTATACTGAGAAAACGAATAAATTACACTGCGATTCACAGGAATGTTATTTCACCCTCACTATTATCTTTGATAAAATCGTGATAAAAACTAGTCGACATGTAAACTATGACACGCGTAGATTGGCCCATTGCGCTGACTACACCGATCAAAATTTGCCTTCCAAATTGATCCTTGCGTATCAAAGGAGAACCGGAATCACCCTGAAATTATATTAATATGTTAACTATGAGACATGTTAAAATATTTATATAACTTTAGACTTACTTCCATTGCTAAAATTCCCAAATCCCTCGAAATGATATCACTTGCTTTTAAAGGAAATTTAAAACGTTTCAGCCATGGCGACGGATCTATAAGCTTTACAACTGCTATTTGAAGATCGCTAGTTTTGTCTAAATTTTATCATCGTATAAAACAAATTTTATAATATATATTACGTAATAGAAAAATAATTGTTTAACTTAAGAAAATAACTTACTTTCTCCTATCCTTCCCCATCCTACTAAGGTAGCGTGTCCTGAAGTATATGTTTGGTTTCTATCAGCTACTGCTACTGGATATGATGTTGGTGTGCATACAATGGGCTTTTTCAGAATTAAAAGAGCAATGTCATTTTCGAATGTGTCCGGATCATAATTAGGATGTATAATGTTTCTTTTGAAAAACACCAAGGAACCTTTGTGTTTGTTAATGTTTCCAACTGTTCCGTAAATGTCCAATGCCAATGAAATTGTAAATTGCTCGAGTCCTGTGGTTACGTTCTTCCTAGGTTATGGTAGGTTAGTTTAGTTAGTGAATAAGCTAGAGTTTAAAAAATTTTTAAAAAATTAAAAAACAAAAAATAAACAAAAAATTTGGGGTCTTGCTCGTTTGTCTCTGACAATTCGTCCATCTTGGCTAGTTTGGCATTCTGTTCGTTTGCTTTACGTGCTGTATAGCTGTAGTATTAACATTCGCGATCGCGTTCAGTTTTACAAGTATTAAGTAGATATGTTTTCCTACTAATAGCCACATGGCACTAAGTTCTACAATTAGCTATTCGTGGTGGCACTAAATTATTGGTTCTCGCTACGCTTAGGTTTCTTTTACACTCTTCGGGGGACTGCGGCCTTGCAGCCTAAAAACTGTACACCAACCTCAAACATAGAGGGTACTGTAGCCTTATTAATACCTTTAGTTCCCAGCAATTTTTGATATTAATGTAATTAAACATAAAAAATACTTAAAACTGAAAAAAACGAAAGAAATGCGTTAATTTTTAAGAAAAAGCTTCAAACTTTATTTTCCTTTGTCTCGCCTTTCTGCGAAATTTGACACCGATGAGTCATTGTTTACAGAGCTGGATGACCTTGAGAACAGCTGGTGTTGGATTTCCGGGACATTCTCATAGATGTCTCGGGAGGCGAAGGGTTTACAGTAGGGTGAATACTAGCTCGCCGTATATTTTTAAATATTTTTAGTANCTCTTTTCAGTCGAGATTGAAACGGTCGAGAGCGTTCGCACCACGGAACTCTCTCCGACCTTAGCCACAATCTAGATCGAAATGCTCGGTGCGAACGGGGTATTACCATTTCCGCCCACACGTCATCTATCTCCATCTCATTATTTAAGTTAATGGTGTTGTATATACGTATGTATATGTATATATTTAACATTATTTTTAACATTAAATCTGTTTCTTATAAATTCCATTGACCATTTTCTTAATAGTCTACTGAGGTAATTGTTCAATATAAATGTATTTATTAATTTTATTTGTCGTTTTGCTTCTCTTGTCGACGATTTTTTCTGATAAGTTCGTATGCTCTGAAATATTTAATTTCTTCCCTAATATCAAATACGCTATTCACGCATTGTTCATAGGAATGATAACCAGTTGGAGTCTTCAGTTTCGTTAAAAGGGCCACATTGGTTAATATCTCTGTCAGATTTCCTCCTGAAGTTGACATTCGATTGGGTAAGATAATACAGTTGAGATTTGCATTGGGCTTAACTGCTGTAATGTTAGTTGAGGTATTGTTTCGTGTTTTTCTCGATATGAATCTATACATGGCAATGAAAAAGATCACTAAATTTGAATTCTTATTTTGTAATGTCGTTTGGGCGGTGTTATTCTCGGTTTAATTGTACGAACCACTTACTTTTCGTTTTGGTTTTATCAGTACAGTCGACTCCCCTATCAGAGTTATATTTCATATTGCATGCGACTGTACGATCAGCCAAAACAGATGAATGTCCATAGCCCAGATTTGAATTGTTCGATCGAGAATATCATTAGTAAGTATTCGAAATTAATTGAGTATGTTAACGGTGTGAATGACCGTTTCGACTTGTTTTTGGCATCATGTAAATCTATAACATATTTATATATTAGTATTTTGATTGCGGCTTATTTGTACTTTGGACTTACCAATCTATACATGACAATCTCTATAATGCTCTCTATATATATGGCGTTATCTGTTTAACAGTTATAGGTATCGTATTTTCCAGATTTACATTATCAGTAAAATCAAACGTTTAATATTTCCACTTAATAAACTACCCTTATGACAGTTTCGTTTTATTTCAGCTTTATGGAGATTTCATGAAAACAAATAAGTTATTCCCAGCAAGATTTTCTGTCGTTTACAAGTTGAAGGCAAGTTCTTACATATTTTTAGGAAAAGTCATTTTTATATTTGCTGGATTTCATGAAGAGGTTCAGAAATAATCCAGTTGGAATTTCCATTACTGATTGTTTTCATGTCAAAAAAAATTTCCTATAAAAGTAAGTTTATTCGTGCTGTTTCAGATATAAATATGGCGCACTTATTAATTTGATTTATTTTACTAGATTCTTAGTAGTTTATATTCCGTTCTGTCTGCTTTTATGGAATTGGGAGGCAACAAACCTAAAGGATGTTCGCCATTGCTTTCCAGAAATGAAACTGGTACAGTAGAGTCTCGAAAACTCGGCCTAATGTGGACCGAAGGGTGGCCGAGTTTGTGAAAATGCCGGGTTATCGACTGCCGAATTTTCGAGACTCTACTGTATCATATACTAATTANAATTATAATTGCGATTTTCGACCCCCCCCCGACTTAATTAAACGTATATATAATAAAATCTATAAATTAAAACAATTAAAAAACTATTGGAGGTCGTTTTTGACATCAGAAACTAGCTTTAAATAACTTTACCGAAGGAAAATCCGTGCACTACAACTTTAGAACGATGAATTAAATTTAATAAAAAAAATTCTCATTAAAAAACAATTAAGCGTTAATCGTGCGTCATTAAAGGTAGATTAAAATCGCGATAAAATTTTTTCGCGCGGGAAAAAATTTTTGAATAAATTTGGAGACTTAAAAAACATTCCAAAAATTCAAAACAAACAAAAATTTTTTGGGGGCCGAAAGGACCGAGTTTTCTGTAACGCTATGTAACCTGCCAGAGTTAACTCGGGCGAAGAACTAAAAATTAATTAATTAATGCCGTTCAGAGGGATCATACCTTTCTCTACTGTCTATATCCTTCCCCAACTTCTTCCCCTCCCTTTGTTTTTACTCTCTTTTCTGCCGGATAAACACCTCGTGTACGGCCGATGTCTTTCTTGTATGTATGTATGTATGACAAATGAAGTAAAAATATATTCATATTTTAGTTTTCGTACACAGCATAAATTAAAATTGTTCAAATATGTAGAGTAAAACATGTTTAAAAAGGAACCTGTCTAAAACGGTACCTGCCTAAACAAAAAGAAATTTGGTACCATGTTATTTAATTTATACAGGTTTTATTGTATTTAATTTAAATGTATTATTTTCGGATTTAACATTCATGCGCAATGTGCAACTGGAAACCACGAACTATCAGATTTACAGCCTCGATGGACGCCAGCGTTGTTGTCAGCATCGTTTCCAGAATCGGTATTACTTTCATGTCGTGTTTTGCCCTCTCTAACACGATCAACTTACTCTAAGCATGTCTGACAGGTTTATCTCGTAAAGACATCATTCTGAAGTCAATGATCTTTTATTCTTGGTGAATACGTCAGCTCACAAGCGCAATGCGAAAGCATTCACATGCAAAGCGCGATGCTGCTTAGCAAGAAAATAAGATGTTAGCGTCATCTAGCTGTTCCGGGGCTCACCGTGGTAAAGACGATAAATACAATTAGCTTCGTGGAAGGAAGCTGGTAAACGTACTTGTTTCCGTCTTTCGCCAATGATACGTTACATCTATGTCGTATACCATTTTCTTCTACCATCAAACTGCAGAATTGAAGAAGATAACCTCTTGAATTTTTTATCATGAGATAGATAAGCGTTTATCTCCTTGCGCACAACTAACTCAAATTTCACGAAAATCTTAGTTACCTCCATCCTCCAAGCCTTTCAATTGCAATTAAGAATATTATTGATTTAAATGTACGCATTGTTTTATATTGGACAACACATAGTGCAAAACTCAAGGTTTGTTTATTATATGTTCTATTGATGACGAGTAATTGGTTACGGGTCATCAACTGACTATTAACTGACTATCAGATTGGCTGTGTGGAGTTTTCCGAGTTTTAAATATTAAAATTAAAATATTAAAATTGATTAAACTTACTTATATATGACGTGGGCAGCTCCAACTGCTGTTGTGGTAGTGATCAATGAAAATGATCCTTTAAAGTTCCCTCTACGGAAAATAGCCATCTGTAATTAAAAATATACGAAAGAATAAATTTATTGTATTGGGATTTATAAATCTTTATCATACATAAATCTTATTAGATCTTACTATAAATGGTACTTCACCCTCTTCAGCAGGAGTGCCTCCAATCATCCGTGGCATTATTATTCCTATAAAAAATTATACAAAAACTCTTTTAAATGAAATCATTAATGTTAACTGTAAATTTCTACATCAAATAATTACTTGAATGACTCCTGTAGTTTTCCGATAGAATAAGGTTTAGCATGCTTAAAAAGAGAGTAATTAACAACCTGAAAATATAAAATATTTTAGTAATTTCATTTTAAAATATAAAGAAATGTTTAAGTGTAGTTGATTACATTGAATTTTTTTATGGAGTGTGTCATTAATTAAAGGAATGAAGTGCTTGAAGTGTTTTCCATTACATCAATTAATACCATAAGTTTTCCCATTTTGGTACTTTATTGTTAAAGTTCTATTACGTAAATTGGATACCTGAAGTCGATTTCATTGTGGTACAATAGAATAGACAACATAACTGAGGATTTAGGAAAAATTTAGGGATTCAAATTTTGAAAATGTATGATATTACTGGTTTGATTCCTAATCGTTCTTGGTGATCCTTCGTAGTAATTAACAGAATTATTTTATTATAGCACGCGTCGTGTTATCATAAATGGTAAGAATAATATAAATATAAAACTCTGCAGAAAACATTATTTTATACAGAAATTTCTCTGCTATAAACCAAAGAATTTCCTATTTTACAAAGTGTTAATCATTGAGCGTACCAGCGTGTTGGTCAAGCAGATCTCGTACCTAACCAACAGGCTGGTTACGTGGAGTTGCGATGATTATTCGCCTGACTAATTCTAAGTAGGATGCATTTCCCTAGAATATATTCTTATGAGGCATTCCTTTGGCAGATCGTTGTATTTCATTCCTGTATTTAATTTAATCATTGTTGGTCAGGTGTGAACGTGCAATTAATAATAAGTAGTTACTGAAATACTGTAAATGGATTTATTTATAAATGAACTTTTTGAAAAATTATTATTATTATGAAAATACTGACAAAATGTTTAATTATTACATGTTTTGCAGATGTGTGATGGTGTCAAACACGGCTATAAGGAGTGTGTAGAATAACCGGAACTGTCAGGTTCTTAATTGTCTTTGTTGTTCTCAGAAACTTTATCATGCTTATGTTGAAAAATTAATACGTATGATGAAAATAAATGGATCTTTCGATTTTTAAAGCTGGCAACTTTATTATACATTCACCCGTACTAATTTTATAAAAATCCAGTAACAATTTTCTTAACTTTTCTGGCAACATTTAAAATTTTAGTAACGCCATCTGTTATGATATTTTATTTTAAAAAAATTTTGTAAAATCGATTATTATAAATTAGAAAAAATGTTAATTTTGAAGGTAGGGATGGGTATTATCAAAATCTGTAATGATAGTAACGAGTAAAATCGTGATTCACTCCGACACTATTCGATATATTAAACACGACCCTTATCTACCCACTCCGTCGCTTTTTAACCATCAATATTTAACAGCATCAATCGCCATAATGTACAAACCTTCCAGTGAAATTTAAGAAACTTCGGCAAAATGTACAGGCGTTCTTAAGCTTCAAAGTGGTTGAACAAAATCGTGCCCTCCACACATTAACATCCGTACAGTACAGTACATACAGGAAAAAATCTCTGATTTTTTTACATTTTTCGACATTTCAAGGTCTCCTAAGTANATTGTATTTATTTTCTCAAGATTTTAATTTTAATTAATTACACGTAATCTATGCGCTTCTTTCTCTCAAAATAATTAAGATTTCCTGTTTAATTATTTAAAAATTAAAGAACGAAACAATAACAACAAAATATTAAAATGAATACAGATAAAAGAGCTGTGTAGCCCAGCAATAGACGAATGGATTAAACTAGTGGTGCGCGAACTGTGGGTCGCCAAATTCAAAGAAATTTATTTGACAATAAAAAATATAAGGCTATCAGGTAACAGTAAAATAGTGAAATGAAATTATATTATTTATAAAAATAGAACTATATTTGCTTACGAAAACAATTATTGTATTGGTACCTAATGCAGAGAGAGGATATCTTTCGGCTTGCGATTTCCAAAACAGATCCAAACATAGAAGCAATCGTGAGCTCTTTGCAAGCGCATAACTCACATTGAATTCTTATAATGAAAAGTTTTTTAAAAGTATTTTTCATTAAATAATTAATACTTTATTTTAATACGTATTTACGTAATTAATACTTTNGTCAAAACAAAAACATTTGTACAAACATATTTGGTGTTTACTGTTATATAATTATTTCATTTCAAAATAGATATTAAATTTAGGTAAAAATAGATTTATCTATATATTTTTACGTAAATTTATCGAATATCGAAATTTACGTAACTATATCGAATGTGTTTTTAGTTGTGTCAAGCGATTCAGGAACGTTATGTTTCAGACGCAGTTCCCTTAGTCCAGACTGGACAAAATCGTAAATTTTTTAAACTAAAGACTCTAATTTATTATAAGAGACAGTTTCCCACAAAAATCCTCCTCGCAAGCATCCCCATCGGCAGTCAGTGATGTTCAAACTTTCATTGGGCTGCATTTTGAAAAAAATTGTAGACGTATAAATTCCCACTGTCATACCCTGTCTGTCTGTCAGTCCGTTTGCCTGTCTGTTCGGTATTCCTTAATCTCGAGAAAGGACAAAGACAGATAGAATATAAGGCCAGACATGGAAATTATAGCGCTGGGAAGACCCGATTAACTACATATTTTCGCCGCTACAAACCGAAAGTCACCTTATTGTAATTAAATATTTCCCCCGAAAAATGTTAGATAGATGGATGACAGGCGCGACTATATTGTAAAGGAAAACTATTATTTACAGGAACAAGCTACTACTAATTTCAGGTGGAAAACATATACTTTTTATGGAAAAATAAAGAGAGAATGGTCATCCAAAATTTGGCCATTACATTATGATATTCAATGGAGTTATGAAAATCTGCAAGATACTACAAGAGATAAATTCTTACAGCCAAATGTTCCCTTTTCCACTTAAATTTAACTAAGTAGATTTCTCGAACGTGCAAAATATGAACTGAATTTCCCCTTTAGATTAAGGTAACATCACTGATTCTATTTGCGTTAGAAACGTAAAGAAAACTGGAAATACTCCCCATTGCCAGCCCGTTGTCATTTGTGTACCCATGAACTATGTGCAGGACTTATATTTTCTCGAATATTGAATGTCATATGAAAGACATTTCCGTGATTACAACATGAAAAATGAAGCCAGAATGAATCAAATATTTTGGCAGAGGAAGCAATAAATATTATTTACGAAAATTATATTTCAAGATTTCTTTCATTCGTCGATATGACATTGTTTGTACTGTGTGAATAAGTACTGTTTACGATTTCTAAAACATAAATAGCAAATTATACTAGAAATGTTATTTTATAAATAAAACACATGTTTACTTTGTTGATTGAAAAGTACAAAATAATATAAGTCGTATATAACAAGTTAAGACATTAACTTTATCATGTGCAACATGTAAATTTTCGAAAATTTTAAGAGTGAGAATGTAGGAATAACTCGTGTTATGCATTTTTTAAATTTTAAACATAAAATATTTTAAATTTAGCTAAATAAATAAAGTTTAATGTATGACTTTAAATTACCATCCTTTACTTATCAAAAATGTACATTATAAATATTAATATAAGATACAAATATTAGATGACAGGCCCGTGTAAAAATATGCAAATATTTATAATCTAAAATACGCATTACTTAAATTATTACAAAAATATATTAAGATTTAATTTTCTCAAAGGCTTTATATAAATTAAGGTTTTTAGTGAAGATCGTATTTTAAAGATAAGGCACCAAAGGCAGTAAAAATTGTATTGTATTTTCTCGAACTCGAATATAAAGTGTACATTACTTGTTAACATTCTGAAATTATTTTTAGAATTTACATATTTATGAATTTTTTACCGATCCCATTGCTTTTAATTTGATTTTATATTTAAAAAATTGTATACTTTTTATAATTATTTAATACGATTTTCATATTTTCATAATTACGAATATTAATTTTATATTTTCTTCTTAATTATAACATTAACATGTATTCAACTCTGCGATTGAATACTTACAAAATGAATATTATCTTGGGTTTTGCTCACTCATTACAAAAAATCTCTGTTGATTTCTTGTGAATGATTTGATTCTATTCTGAATCACTTATTAATTTCTAACAATTACTAAAAACAGTTTATATCTCACCTAATCTGGTCATTTTCTTTTTTATACATCTGATTAGGCCTTCTCTCCTAACCTTACAATTAAAAATGATGCAATTGGTATTAATCTGTATATATAAAATTGCTTGTCCTAACTGACTGACTCACTGACTGATTCATCATCGCCCAGAGCAAACTACTGGACCTAGAGAGGTGAAATTTGGTACACAGTTAGGGTACGTCATGAAAACGCACACTAAGAAGGGTTTTTCGAAATTCCCAAGTAGGGGGAGAGGGAGAGCATTAAGTGTTAATGGAAAAATGGCTTCTACTGTATTATTTTAAATGCGATTTTTTATTTTTATATGCGTTTTAGTAGTGTATGCCATGGGAATTCACTTTAAGAAAGGATTTTTCAAAATTTTCCCGCGGGGGGAGAGGTAGAGCATTAAGGTTTAACCCGAAAAACGGCTTCTACTGTACTATTTTAGATACGATTTTTTGTTTTCAACTACGTTTAGTCTTCATTGAGTACTTAGGTGTATTAAATTGATAACATTTCAGACATTGTTGTAAATATTTTTATGGTTTGATTTTAATTAAAAATGTTCGATCCGTTTTAAATTCAAATTTATTATTGCATATTGGTTCGATTATAGAACGATTGTAAACGTTCCAGAAAATTGATCAAATTGAAGATAGTTCGTTTGATTCTCGGCAATTCTCTTCAGCGGTAGGTGTTATATGACAATTACTATGGTTATTGAAATATTGAATGTAAATGGGGTTTGCTTGCAAAACCTCCG